TCTCCAAGGCTGTCAATCTTCACAGAAGCAAAGCCCAAACCACACCCACTGCCGTGGAGTCCATTCTGACCCACAGCGCCCCTAGAGGACAGAGCAGAACTGCCCCACAGGGTCTGCTTCTTTATGGAAGCAGACTGTGATATTTTTCTTCCATGGAATGGCTGGTGAGTTTGAACCACTGACCTTTCAGTTAACAGCCAAGCTCTTAACCACTGTGCCATCAGGAAGGCTGGTGAAAAGCCCCTGACCCTCTTTTCTAGCTCACTGGATTTCAGGAGTAATGGGTTGGCTGTTGTGGGGTCTGCTTCATTATCCATGGGCACGTTATCAATATTCTTCACACTTCATCGGAAAGCCATAAAATTAATTACAGGGTCATCACCACAAACCCTTTCAAAGCAGCTGACTAAGGCTCCTATAGTTGCGACATCAAACACAGGACTGGGACCCTGCTGTGGCTAGTGTCTGCTCCCTGATTGGTGATGAAAACTACAAGGGGAACAAGCGACTTGAATGAGGCCCAGGTGTGGGTTAGGGTGCAGGATGGATGACTGAGCAGCACTGGGCTGTCGGTACTGGGCTCCTTGGAGCTTCCAGGTGATGGCGTGCTAGGCGGCTGCAGGGAAAAGAATAGCGTTGCCAGGCAATCTACTCCTGTCCTTAGGGGGCCAAAGGCCAGCATCGGGGCTGGTGGTTTTCAAGGGAAGGCAGATGCAGAGATTGAAACATGTAAGCCTCCTCCTGTGAGCCTGCTACTCAGAGATAGCATTACATGTGATGACAGACACATACTACATGTGAGGACGGGCACACATTACACGTGACGATGGACACACACTTCTTTTTAAAAAATCTTTGTTGATTTCATAAGAACCATTCCCCATCACCAAAACTGATTCCATCCCAGAGGGCAACATCCTAAGAACCTTCTGAATACAAGGAGCTTATCCCACCTGGTGCCACTTCCTCTCCCAGGTCATCCTTTTAGCAAATTTAAATACAACAGAAGTCCTTTCTGTGAAGGGCTGAGGGTTTACACAAAGCAAGGAGATAAAAATGCATGAGGAAAACATAAAAGTGTACTCCTCTCAGGAAGCAACAGGCCTGAAAGAACGGGTTCCAGGGAAATCCTCCCTAAGCACAGTCACCTGATGCCAGCACTGAGCCCCCCCACGCCACTGCCCTCACCTGCCTGCACAGTGTTCAAGGAAGAGTCATACCTCCTGCAGGGTCCCGTCTCCTCCGGCGACAATGACTACGTCTGTGTGCTCCATCAGCTCCAGGAGCTTCTTGGCTTGGCCCTCATAATCAGTCTGAAATACAGGGGAGCACTGAGTAGTTTCCTCATCCCAGGACCACAGACACAAAGGCCAAGTGATGGGGGACGTTTCCTTTACAGTTTTAGATTGTGTCTCCTCTTAAATTTTACATAACCGACAGGCCTGAAAAACTAAACCCCCAAAAAAGCAATTATGCAGCCCAGACACCATCTAGTAGCGCCTTGTTTCACACCCATGAAAACCCAAGCCCAGAGATGGGTCTGTCTCTCCGGCTAGCTGGCCACAGATGTGTCCAGTCCAGGGCCTCCATCCAAGTTGGGAGCCAGCGCAGGTGCAGACCGGGGGCAGAGGGACCTAGAACACGTCACCCCTCTGCCACTCTGAGCCGAGTGGCCTTAACCTCTCTGAACCTTAATCTCCTTCCCAAGGAAGGTGTGTGCTACGGGATGGGTAGTAGCTGCTTCCTTCTGACAAGTGCAGAGCCACCAGCAGGGGCTGCAGTGAGTGAAAGGGGTTCTCATTGTCACAACGACTGGACACAGACAAGTGCAAGTGTGATTCAAGGTACGGATGACCTCTGCACAGCACGGGGGCTTGTTTCAAGATGTGGGTCTTGGAAAAATTCAAGAACAACAGACACCACATCAGAGGAACTGAGAATTGAGAAAGAAAACAAATTGAACAGCAGACACCCCGGAGAAGGTCCCCACTATTCAAGAAGGCGTCTGACTTCTTTTATGACATGGCCCTTCTATGATAAGGGCACTGAAACTAAAGCCAATGGTGGAAGGAGGATTGGTGCTGTAGAAAAACGTTTTTAGAGAAATAAAAAAAGCTGCACAGAATGTTTCCGTGAAGTCACACTGAGGGCCTGTGTCTCCTGCCTCGCCTCCTCCTCCACCTCTCTTATCTCTGCCACCCGAGACAGCACCACTGACCCTTCCCATCTTCCTCCTCTTCCTCAACCCACTCCACGTGCAGACGATGACGATGAAGGCCTCTGTGATGATCGGTGTCCACCTCACGACACTAACCATCACAAGTACAGTCCATACACTTACCTGTGGCGTGTTTGGGTCTCCATGTGAAAATCTAATAACCCTACAGCAAGAACTGTTTATGTTATTTTACGTTTACTGTTTATGTCAACAGTAGCCTATCAGTAGTTTTGGGGAAGTCAAAAGTTACACATGAAGCAACCGGGATCTTAAAGCTTACAAGCAGCCATCTAGATGCAATGATGGGTCTCTCCTCGTCCAGAGCAAATAAGAATGAAGAAAACCAAAGACTCATGGAAACAACTAGTCCAAGGGACGGGTACATCAGGCAATCCTCAGCCTATATGACTACGAGACCAGAAGAACTAGATGGTGCCTGACTACCACTGTCAACCACTCAGAGGGGGATCCATGTAGGAGATCCTGGATAGAGTGGGAGAACAATGTGGAACAAAACTCAGAATCATTTGGACAAAAAAAAAAACCCAGGTTTGCTGGTCTGATAGAGTTTGGTGGAACCCCTGAGACTATGGCCCCTAGCTGCCCTTCAGGGCTGGAAACGAACCCACTCCTGTGGCTTCCAGCCAAACAAAAGACAGGCATATGAGCTGAACATTTACATTAGGCAGATATACTCCTTGGAAAGGATTAATCATGGGATAACAGAAGGGCTGTGTATGTACAGGGAGACAGCTCAGGGGGCAGGAGTGCATGGAGAGAAGGACACAGGGAAGAGGTAACTATGGGGAGGAGTAGGAGGGGAGCTGTTGCATTGTGGGAAACTGTAGTCAATGTCATGAGACAAAGTGTATGTGAACTGTTGTATGGAAAGTGAATTTGCTCTGTAAACTTTCACCCAAATCACAATTAAAAAAAAGAAAGTTACACGTGACTGTGCAGGGGTCAGCGCCCCAGTCCCACACTGTTCAAAGTCAACTGCTATCAAAGAGCAGTTAGTGCCTAAGACGTAGCGTTTTCATTAGGACAGTTTATCTCCGAGACATTTAGCCACTGCACCACCAGGGTTCCTTGTATCCCATGAAGCCAGTTTCAGTTTTCCTGTTTTGATGCATCTGAAATTCTCATTTAGCCACCAATTTCACTTCATGGCAACAGGTTTAGTTATTTTGGTTTTAATGGGACACAGGAAAGAAAGTCACAGGGGCTTGAGGGGCCATGAGCTCAGTATGGGGCACCCAATGCCACTGCATTGATTCCGACTCAGAGTGACCATACAGGACAAGATAGATCTGTCCTGAGGGTTTCCTGGGCCGCCATCCTTATGAAAACAGACTGCCACACCTCTCCCCTGCATAGCAGCAGCTGGTGGGTTGGAAATGCCAACTTTTTAGTTGGCAGCTGGGTGCTTACCCACTGCACCACCGGAGCTCCTTAACACACGGTAAAGCTTGACGCATTGGTGACAGCATCAGTTCCCTGAGCATTCGCAACTTCAAGCCAGTCCTCACCCCAGCAATGCAGTGTCACAAATCCCTGCTGCCAGGGTGATCCAAAGAGCTCTGGAGACACAGAGGTCAAGGCACCTGGCTGCTAACCAAAAGGTCGGTCATCTGGACCCACCAGCTGCACTGTGGAAGAAAATGGAGGCAGTCTGCTTCCGTAAAGACTGACAGCCTTGGAAACCCACTGGGGGTCGCTATGAGTCTGAATCGAACCAACGACAGTGAGTCTGGCTTTCTGGTTTTTAGGTAACCTGAAGGCCTTCAAGCTGATACCATGATGAAAAGAGCTTTCCTCCAGTGCTATTGCTCCCAAGGGTGCCTGCCCTGAGTCTACATGAAAAGGCTCCAACTGAGGCGTCTTCCAGAGTCGGCGAGAAGGCCAGGAACAAAGGCCAAGGAAGTGCTCCAGAGACACGGTGCAGCCAGCTAAACGCAGCAGAGGTCCCGGATGGGATCCTGGCCCAAAAAACAACTGCTTCTGTCATAAAAAACACTAATGGAACAACCGCCTTACCGTGAATAAATTCGAGACCGTGTTATACCAGTCCTTCATCAGTGTTAATTTCCTGACTTTGATCGTTGCTCTGTGGTTGGAAGAGAATGTTGATATTGAAGAGCAAGGGGGCAGTATTTCCCTAACTCACTCCCAGATGATTCAGAAAAACAACAGCAGCTTGTGTCTGTGTCCACCTATATGTATAGGAGTGTGTATGTGTGTACGTACACACACGCACACACACGCAGAGAGAACAGAGCGAGCATGGTGAGAGGTTAATATCTGGGGACTCGGGGTAAACTGCGCATGGAAATTCTCCAAATCACTTTTTTGACTTTTCTCTTAAGTCTGAAATTACTTCAAAATTAAAACTAAAGCAAAATGAACCCTGCAGAATAGCATTTCTACTCAGGTACAAGCAGAAAACATTAGTTTTTCTATTAATTTTTAATCTTACCCTTTTACATTCCTATGTTCTGTGTATCTGCTATAATGTACATAACAGATTACTATTTGCATATAACTTATAAATACCTTAGATTAATTAACAATAATTAATAAATAGGTCCCAGGAAGCCTGAACTTGGACTAGACAGCACTAGGTGACATCACAGTTATTACTTTTGTGGAGTATGATAACGACAGTGCAGGTAAGTAAAGAAGTATCCTTATTGTCTAAAATGTGTGCAAAAATATTTAGGGGTAAATGACAGGGTATCTTTAATTTCCCTCAGGGAGCCATGCTATCGTGGAAGAAGCCTGGGGGATGCTCATCCGCCTGTCGAGCATGTGAGTGAGGCCGTCCCTCTCGGACCACAGGGGCCAACACAGGAGCACTCTGAACGCAGACAGCTGACCAGCAGGACCATGAGCAGAGAAAGAGCTGCTGTGTAAGCCCCGACACTCTGAAGCAGTTTGTTGCGTAGCAGCAGATAATCTAGTACAGACACCTAGTATAAAAATACATCTAGATGTATCAGTAATTACAATAAATGTTAATGGACTAAACTGTTCAGTTAAAAGACACATACTGTTAGATTGTTGTTTTGGGTTTTTTTTTTTAAGATTCTGCCTCCACGCCTTTCCCAAGACACATCTAAGACAGAAGGATAAAAACTGGCTGAAAGTGAAGGGACAGAGAGACTGTACCAAGAACTAAACAAAGGGGCGAGTGTAGTTACTGCTGATGCCAGGCACTGTCAGCACTAATGAGAGTCATTCTATGAAAAGGTCAAACTACGAGAAAATAAAGTAATTCTAAGCCTGAGTTTACTGAGTACACCCTAAAAATAGAAAAAGTATGAACTAGATGGTGCCCGGCTACCACTGTCAACCTCTCAGTGGGGGATCTAAAGTAGGAGATCCTGGGTAGAGTAGGAGAACAATGTAGGAAAAACTCAGAATCATTTGAAAAAAAAAAAAAGGCACCAAGTTTGCTGGTCTGATAGAGCCTGGTGGAACCCCTGAGACTATGGCCCCTAGCTGCCCTTCAGGTCTGGAATTGAACCCGCACGTGTGGCTTCCAGCCAAACAAAAGACAGTCATATGAGCTGAACATTTACCTGAGGTAGATACACTCGTTGGAGAGATGAATCATGGAAGAACAGTAGGGCTGTGTATGCACAGGGAGACAGCTCAGGGGGCAGGAGTGCACGGGAGGGAAGGACACAGGGAAGAGGGAACTATGGGGAGGAAGCGGGAGGGGAGCTGTTGCATTGTGGGAGATTGCAGTCAACGTCATGAGACAAAGTGTTGGTGAACTGCTGTATGGAAAACAAATTTGCTCTGAAAACTTTCACCCAAATCACAATAAAAATTAAAAATCTATGTATTTAAAAAGCAAAAACTGACAAAACTACAGAGAGAAATATGGCAGATCCACAAGCATGGTGGGAGATTTCCAACACTCTTCTCTCTCTAATTCATAAAGCAGATGAAAAACTCAGTGAAGGCATGGAAGAATTGACCCACAAAATCACCAGATGTAATTTAATGGCCGTATGTACGACACAGTACCTAACTGATACTCTTTTATGGCACACACATGACATTTATGAAAACAGACGACATACTTGACCATAAAACAAGTCCAGATAAACTTCAAAACACTGGAACTACATAGGCCATACAAACATTCATCTTCTGAGAGTAAATGCCACATCCTTACCTCAGTCGAAAAGTGTCAACTTCATAAACCTTAGAACACTGAACTACACAGACCACAACAACGTTCATGTTCTGAGAGGACAAAGGCCATCCTAATCTTAGATGGAAAGTGTCAGCTTCTCCAGGCCTCCTCTAATGCTATTTGGAAAACAGAAAGCTGACAGTGGTTTTGTTTTTGTTTTGTTTTGTTTTTTGGCTCTGTGTTATAATATTGAACTTCTTAACCAAATGCAGTTTTTTTGTTTGTTTGTTTTTTTAAGTTTTATTGTGATTTGGGTGAAAGTTTACAGAGCAAATTTACTTTCCATACAGCAGCTCACACACACTGTCTCATGACATTGACTGCAATCTCCCACAATGCAACAGCTCCCCTCCTACATCCTCCCCATACCCACCTCTTCCCTGTGTCCTTCCCTCCATGCTCTCGTGCCCCCCGAGCTGTATCCCTGTGCATACACACCCTTCTATTCTGCCATGATTGATCTCTCCAAGGAGTGTATCTACCTAATATAAACATTCAGCTTATATGACTGTCTTTTGTTTGGTTGGAAGCCACAGGTGTGGGTTCAATTCCAGACCTGAAGGGCAGCTAAGGGCCATAGTCTCATAGGTGCCACCAGGCTCTATCAGACCGGCAAACCTGGTCCTTTATTTTTTTTTTAAATGATTTTGCGTTTTGTTCTACATTGTTCTCCCACTCTATCTGGGATCTCCTACATAGATCTCCTTCCAAGTGGCTGACAGTGGTAGCTGGGCACCATCTAGTTCTTCTGGTCTCATAGTCATATAGGCTGTGGATCACATGGTGTACAAGTCACTAGGACTAATTGTTTCCATGAATCTTTGGTTTTCTTCATTCTTCTTTGCTCTGGACGAGGAGAGACCCATCATTGCATCTAGATGGCTGCATGCAAGCTTTTAAGATCCCAGTCGCTACACACTGAAGTAGGATGTGGAACAATGCTTTTGTGGAGTATGTTATGCCAATTGAGCCTGATGTCCCCTGTGACTATGGTCCCAACTCCACAGGTCCAACTACTTGCTCCCTCCAGGTAGCTAGCTGTGGCCAAGAAGTAACTACAACCTTGACCCTTGTCAGCTCTACTATATACCTGGGTATTCTTACAAAATATACCAATACACTTGTAGAGACATTGTCTGCCAACCCTATATATGATCTTGGGCACATTCCTCCTTGCGTAGACACATCTAGTAGTTCAGCTTGTCCACCCATCTAGCCACCCATATACCCATGTTTGCCTTCACTGACAATGCCGTACTATATATATGTGTAAAAGGGTTCATCTTTGTTGTCTGTACCTCCCATGCACCTCTCTATGTCTTCCTCTTCCTCATTGCCACCGTGTTGATCACTCACATTTGGTATACTGCACTTCTCTTCACCCAAATCAATGCTTGTTTCCACCTATCTAGCAGGGTTCCCTACCACCCCTGGTAACCAACAAAGAAAATTTTCTTCCATAGATAACCTTTCCTTGACTCTTTACTTGTTGTCGTTATTTGCCATCAAGTCGGCCCCGACTCCTAGCAACCCCTCCTTGGGTTTCTGAGGCAGTTATCACTACAGAAGTAGGATTGCCCAACCTTGACTCTTTACAGTAATGAACTAATATAGCATTTGAAAGCTGACAGTGTTTTAAAAAGCAAAATCGTCTGTATCAACTCCTCAAGGACACAATGCTGACTTGCTTTGTTCTGGTCTTCATAAGCGACACGTGGTCTCTGCTAAGAACTCAGCAGAGAGGACAGGTCATCAGAGCAGTGGCTTGGTCAAACTCACCCGTGTGCCCTCCTCACCTTGACGACAGTCACGTCCATGCCAGACAAGTGTAATATGGGGGCGGCATTTTTTTCAAACAGTGTCCTGGCTTTCCTGTACATGAAAAAGAAAAATATTTCAACACAAGTGCCTCACATGGGAGAACGCGCCCCACCGTCTCTAGTCTAGAGCAGGAAACAGACCAGCAAACCCAGGGCTCCTGTACTTGTTCAAGTACAAATCCAACAGTGTGCGAATGGGGATGTGCTGAGCTGCCAATCAAAGGGCTGGAGGTTTGAGTCCACCAAGAGGTGCCTCAGAAGAAAGGCCTGGCAACCTGTGAAAGACGAGCCACTGAGATCCCCAGGGAGCACCGCTGCCCTCTGACCACACGGGGTCACCGTGGGCAAGGACCAACTCCAGAGCACTGCCGTGTTAACCCAACAGCCAAGGGGCAAACTGTGCCACTGCCAACAGGGTGCACCACTGTCCTCTGACCACACGGGGTCACTGCGGGCAGAAATCAACTCCATGGCACTGCTGCTAACCCAACAGCCAAGGGGAGAACTGTGCCACTGCCAACAGGTCTCCACAAAGGGCTGCCGACGTCACCCCTGGATTAGTAAGAAAGGAGCAGCCAGAAGTGGATCCAATCCACCTCTGAGAAGTGAAGCTCTGGAGAAGCCGCCATCTGCCCTTGTCAATTACACGTCTGCTGTCCCCTCAGTCGGTTCAAGAAGCAGCATCTGGACACTCAGCCTCCACCTGCTTCTGTGACGGGTTCAGAGAGCTGGAATGGAGCGATGGCTGCTCTGCCCAAGTTCCGTACAGAGGACTGGGGAGCAGGTATTACCCAGAAGAGATGCTATTGATGAGATAATCAAAGGTGAGGCAGCTCCAGGGTGACTTACGGCAGCTCCCACGTTCCCGCACACGCACAGAACGAGCCTTTACTGTATTATGTACTAATGCAAACACTCGGCTCTTACTTCCTCAGCTCTCATGTAGTTTTAAACCAGTGATGCATAATGAAACAGCTACGTGATAAATGATAAATTATGTGTCCCGGCAAAGCCAAGATGACAAAGATGGTGCAATTAAAGAGTGAAAACAGTGCTTCCAGAAACACATGAAGAGCTCACAGCCTCGATGGGGCAGCCTCGCCAGGCAGGGGCAGCCTCACCGGGCAGGGGTAGCCTTACCGGGCAGGGGCAGCCTCACTGGGCAGGGGCAGCCTCACCAGACAAGGGGCATGCCCACTGGGCAGGGGTAGCCTCACCTGCCTGGGACAGCCTCACCAGGGCAGCTTCACCAGGCAGGGGCAGCCTCAACGGGCAGGGGCAGCCTCGCTGGGCCAGGGCAGCCTCATCGGGGCAGTGTGGAGGGATGCACCTTGTCAGAAGACAGCAGAGCTGACCTCGCCTTTCCATAAACGGACTGCACTTCACTTCTAGAGTCCCTGGATGACACAAACGGTTAAGGTGTCAACCACCAGAAGAAAGGTAGGTGGTTCAAACCTGCCCAGAGGGCCCTCCGAGGGCAGGCCTGGCAATCTGCTTCCAAACGCTCACAGCCTTGAAGACCCCACGGAGCAGCTGCCCTCTGCTCAGCCTGTCCACCCATCTATCCACCCGCACATCAGGGCCACAACGCGTGGGGCTCTGCTCCCCTCGTCCCTGGAGCTGACTTTGGCTGTTGTTGCTGAGAACACACACATCAGGGCGAACCCCAATTCAACAGTTCCTACCCCACACTCAGTGACCCTGATGATATTCCCCGAGCTGTGCGGCACTGTCACCCCCCTTTCTGAGTCGTTCCTCCTCATTCACATACCCTCACTGCCCCCTTGGTTTCCGATCTCATCTGTCAAGTTGCTGCTGTCAGTTTGACGCCACAGTCAGATCTTAACAGCACCGTGCTCTAGGCAGATGTACGCCACGAGTTAATCTGAACGCTGTTAGGTTTTCAGCAGACTTCAGGGGGAGTTTGGTGTAAGATCATCTCAGGGCAGCAGTGTCAGGGGGGCCACTACACTTGCAAACAAGGATCCACCGTTAAGAAATGCAGCATGTTGTCGCATGAGTATCTAAACACCTCTTAGGAGGAGGATCCCAAAATGACTGACCACAGCTCAAATGCACTGGCATTCGTTTCTCAATCAGAGAGTAGCAAGTGAGTGAATGACTGGGCCTCTAAGGAACAGGACGTGGAAAGGTCAAAGGTGGCAGACGGAGAGGCACGGTGCTTCCGGGGAACAGGGAGAACAAGGGGAGGGTGTCTGGGCTCAGCCTAGAGGTCACTGATATTGGGACAGCAGGTGACAGTTCCCTCACTGAGGGCTTTCTGAGTAGTGGAATTAATGCTGAAGACTTAGAGGCACCACCTCATTTGATCCCAAAAGCACACACCCTATATGCTAATTTCATAAGGTCTGTGTCATGACTTTTCCATTTTAGCATAAACTGAGGCCTTGAGAAGTTAAGTGACCCCACAGCTTCCTCAACCCCAAAGCCCACACTGAGCTCTGCTCTAATTTTGCCACAGGCCACTGCTGACCACTTAATCTTCTCAGCCTTGTCACTGTCCTTTGCTGGTACCTGTCTGCTGGTTGGTGGTGTTCAGTATCGAGATTAAAGTAGGTCAACAGGCAGGTGTTGGCATGTTTACGGGGGAGAGAAGGAGGCAGAGATGATGCAATGAGGCCAACGGTGCCATTAGACAGTCTGCAGGTAACACCTTGAAACCACTGATGCACAGGAAATAAGGACTGTTAAATGGGAATCCAGCTTGCTGGTAAACCTTCACCAAAAATGCAATAAAGTATTACAAAAGAAAGCAAGCAATGCTTGTCCTAGCTACAAAGGTGGGTCCACTGCAGCCCAAACAGTGGCCAGAGGAACCTGAGTGCAAAGCCTGCGGTCCACCCAGCGTGGGCCTCACTACCTGCCGCCTGGCCCACAATCCCCTCCCATGACCTCTGGACAGCCAGGCCAGTTGACAGAGGGACCTGAACCCCATGCCTAGGGGCTGTCGCCTGAGCCTTCAGCCACGAAGGATGGGTGTCCTCCTCTGCCTGCCTCAGGCTTCCTCCAGCACCCAGCTCCGGGCCCACTTCTCCCGGAAGAAAACACTTCTGAGCTCCAAGTCCACAGTGCACAGCCGCCTCTGAACTGTGTGCAAAAAGCACCAACTGCCATCCCATCAACTCCGACTTGCGGCGACCCTGTGTGTGTCAGAGCTGAGTGTCTTGAACCTCCAACCCTTCAGTGGGCAGCCGAGCCCCTAGAGAGGGGCCCCACAGTAATGCACAGCAACAGAGTGGTGGGGCCCACGGTGCTACATCCAAACAGATTAGACATCTTTGGGTGTGTTAACTTGGAAATGATAGCTAAACTTCAGAAAGACCAGTGCGTCAAGCACCCACTAGTTTTGTAGTTACATCTCAGTGTTAACTGCTGTGTCTGCTTTACAACCCAGTCCTGCTGACAGAAGAGTATGGACTCTAAGCCTTTCAACCCCACGCAGTCGCACCAGCTGCCCCAGAGTATGTGCTATTTCCCCTTAGCCAAGCAGAGGACTAATAAATCGCAGGCTGGACTACCCTTTGCAAGCCGCGGGGTTGAGAAAGACGGTCGCCTTCTTTACTTGTGCGTTGGGGGGGATGAGCTGACTGCCGAACACCTGAAACGAAGAAAGACACAGGGTAAAGAAAGGGCCCTCAGTGAGCGAGCAAGCACACGTGTCCTGTCACCCGAAGAAGCACAGCCCGCAGATACTGAGCCTCTCTGGCCAATGCTCTTCCCTGAACTCAACACCAACTCCGGCCACCGAAGCAAGCAGCCCCATTCTGTCTTACGAAGGGAAGGAATTCTCTTCTGTACACAGCACTCAGGTTTATGCCAGCAACAGCCAGCAAGGTTAGTTCATCAGAGGGAAGTGCAATCTGTCTGCCTGCACTCTCCAGAGGACACTTTTTCTCCTGCATCACTAGGGCTTCCCGTGAGAACCCTGGTGCTTACCAGTTAGTCTTCATACCTGTATACCCATAAAAGAGAAACTCCACGCTCGCTTTCCCTCCTCTTCTTTGCAGCCGTGTATGGTAACAGGCAATGAGACCTGGTGGTACACCAGCAAAGCGCTCATAAGGGCTCAAACCTACCAGTCACTCCACGGGAGAAAAGACTTGGTGGTCTGCTTCCATACAGATTACAGCCTAGAAAACCCTACGGGCAGAGGAGGAGTCACAGAGGAGCTGCTATGAGTGGAACTGAAATAACGACCCCCAGAAACAGCATGACAACAGGGAAAGAAGCCGGACTTGTGCTGTTGGAGCACCTCATGTCTGACAGCCATGCATACACCATGCTGAGTTCTGAGGCGGATTCAACCGCCCAGTTGCACAAATAAGAAAGTCAAGGCTCCATGAGATCGTCACCTGCCATCATGCAGAGTGAGTGACAGCCTAGAACTCGCATCTGCCCCAGAGCCTGGCTGTGGCTCCAGCTTAGCTCCGGGCTCTCGGCTCTACAGAGCAGTTAGGGACGAGGCAACGTGCAGGGCCGGGCGTGAGAGCCGAATGGAGCTGTGGCTACCATGTCACCTGGAGAAGACGGTCAACCAGAGCACAAGGAGGAAACACCAGAAGGGAAAGACCAGAGGCCTCCGGGTAGTGGGGCAGGTCTGTACCAGGAAGGCTGCACGCAAGGGTGAGGGGAGAAAGCAAAAGGAGTGCCACATAAACATCATCTCTCCATCCTCCTGACTGCCCAAAGGTGGTCCCTACAGACCCCTGTCTACTGCTTGGTTAACATAAATAAATAAAATACACCTGCCGCTGCTGAGTCCTTCAGGGAGACAAGTTGTTTCTATGTGTGTTTCTGGTCCCTTCTAAGGTTGACCCTGTTTTCACTGTTTCTAAGTTAGAGGCCACCATCCTGCTGCCAAACCTCCAAACAGAACCTGTTCCTGTTCTGGCCACACTGTTTCTGGAATGTGGCCAGAGATGCCATCATTAACCAGGCTCTCTGGCCTGGCAAACGTCAGACCTTGGGACCAGTTTATTCCTCCCTGTTTTGGCTTCTTGGCCTCTAGATTCCTGTCTGAGCTCCAACACAATCCTTAGGCTCACGATGGGTGGAGGCACTTTTTTGAGACAAGAGTGGTTTAAGACATTTACCTGACACGAGAAGTGTGAAAAACCTAATTCGTTCAAGAATTTAGACAGGAAGGGGAGGGCAGAGCCAGGAAAGCCGAGAAGAGTTTATAAGGATGAGCCCACTTCTTTCAACAGATGGAGTAAGTCAGACATGCGCTGAGGAAGTGGCGACTAAGGGCAGCAGCAGAGGCAGATGCGTAACAAAGAGCAGACCCCCAGGGGACACTGGCCCTGCAGGACACAGTCCCTGGAGGAAACAGTCTCTGAAGGAGCTGAAAGAGACAGAACTATAAACTACAGCGTTTACAGTCACACAGTCCTGGAGGATAAGTCTCTAGAGGAGCTCAAGGAGATGGAAACCCAGCACAGGTAGATGTATGAGAGAGAGCAAACCACCGTGGGGACATAGTCCCCAGAGGACACAGTGCCTGAAGGAGTGGGAGGAAACAAAGCCAGCACAGGGAATGAGAGAGAGCCACCCACTGAGGGGACGCGGTCCCTGGAGGGCCCAGTCCTGGGGGAACTCGAGGGGA